TTGAGCCCAAAAGTCTACATTCAATTCAATTTATTCATCTGTTATGTCTGAAAGTTTTCAATTCTTCTATTATGATATTTAAATTGTATTTTACATTTTATTATAGTTGTGCACTTCATGTAAAGTTTTAGAAATCTAAAAGTTGAGGAAGAAACATTCAATTTCTCTTGATTTACTAGGCTCAGATACTATTTGACAAGATAGAACAATTTGCTGTTCACCAAGAAACCTTCAAGACGGGATCTTCACTTAGGATAGGATACATACAGAAATATCACATTTTGTTAATCCACTCATGGATTGATGCGCACTCAAGTCAATTCCACAACTTCGCAGCTGTGAACTATGCTGTGAAAAACATTCCAGTGCAGCTGTCTTTTTGATAAAATGACTTTGTTCCCTTTGGGTAGATACCCAGTAGTGGGATTGCTAGAGCAAATTCTAGGTCTACTTTTAGTTCTTTGAGGCATCTCCTTACTGTTGTCCATAGAAGTTGTACTGATATACAGTCCCACCAACCATGTTAAGCATTCCTCTGTCCCTGAATCAACACCAGCATTTATTGGTTTTTGGACATTTTAGTAACAGCCATTCTAATTGGGGTAAGGTGTGGCTTACCATAAAACCATCTCACTGTGGTTTTAATTTTCATTTCCCTGATGATTCATGATGAGTACCTTTTTTTTTTTTTTGGCTGGGATTGGGTTTGAACCTGCCACCTCCAGCCTATGGGGCCGGCACCCTACCCTTTTGAGCCACAGGTGCCGCCCTGTGATGAGCACCTTTTCACATGGCTATTGGCCACTTGTCTATACTCTCTGGAAAAACTTCTGTTCATGTCATTTGTCTACTTTTCAATAGGTTCGTTATTATCTTGCTGATTTGTTTGAGATTTTATGGATTCTAGTTATTCGCCCTTTAATGGATATATAGCTTACAAATATTTTCTCTCACTCTGTAGGTTGTCTATTTGCTCTATTGATTATTTTCTTAGCTGTGCCAAAGCCTTTTAATCTAATCAAGTTCTATTTATTTATTTATTTATTTACTTTATTTTTTTTTTTTATTTGCAGTTTTCAACTGGGGCCAGGTTTGAACCCACCACCTCTGGTATATGGAGCCTGCACCCTACTCCTTGAGTCACAGGAGCCACCCCCCTTTATTTATTTTTGTTATTGCTATAATTGCTACGGGGTCTGAGTTATAAATTCTTTGCCTAGGCTGATATCTAGAAGAGTTTTCCCTATGTTTTCTTCTAGAACCCTTATGGCTTCATAGCTTATATTTAAGTCTTTTACCCACTTTGACTTAATTTTTGTGAGTGGTAAGAGGAATCCTATCCAATAAATAGTGCTAGGAAAATTAGACAGCCATATGCAGAAGAATGAAACACTTGTGGAATCTTTTACACTCCAATGCATATTATTCCAATTCTTTTGTCTTGAGAATTCCCAGCAAGATTCAACATTGAGAGCTGTTATGGCAGAATTCTTGGTGGATAGCAAATTGTTCTATCTTGTCAAAAAGTATCTGAGTCTAGTAAATCAAGAGAAACTGACCATCCATTCCTCAACTATTAGATTTCTGAAATTTACATGAAGTGCACAACTATAACAAAATGTAAAATACAATTATATGTCATGATGGAAGAATTTAAAACTTTCAGACATATCAAACTAATAAATGCAATTGAATATAAACTTTTAAGAAATAGTACCTGAGTTTAATTGTAATTGTATTATAAAGTACCTTTTGTGTGTTTTGTTTTTGAAAATCGTTTTTCTCTAACTTTTTTCAAACATATGAGACACAATAATATTGACTTTTAATAATATTAATAAAATCTTTCAATTGTCTTTACTA